GTGGTGATTGGATTAAATATTAATTATTGTCGGCGTAGCTTAGAGACAACAACAATCAAATAAGACAACAACAATCATTTATAGACCGATAATACCTTCGGTGTGTGGTCTTTTAACGAAATAACTAGACTTGAATTCCTCGAAAAATTCCTCTCCAAACTTCCCTATCGAGAGCCAGGTCTTGTCTCTAATCGAAATAATGGGCCTCGGACGAGGGGAGACCAAATAAGAAGTATATAAAATAAATTTGTAAAACTCGTGAGTTTTATTAAAATTTTGAAAACTTATGGATAGAGAAACGTACTGTATTTCATATTTTTTACAGTCCTTTTCTTATAATCTTCGCGACATTAAACGTATACATGCACAATGATAAAAAAGTAGCAATTGCTGTCTGTTGTTAGACTGAATGGAGCCCATGAATGAATGAAAATAAAACATTCATTTGATTCAAAAAAGAAGACGCAAAAAAACCACCACGAGAAAATATTCATTTCCAATTCGATTTGTTTGCTTTGTTTTCCACCTTATTTCTCTAGCTGGTGGCCGTTCATTCTATTCCGTTATTTGTGTAACGCGATGCGTTTCATCCATAATATTGAATTGATGGATGTTTTTCAGCTCGGTTTGATTTTGTTGTTCTCTATTTTGTTTTGAAGTTGAGTTACTCTCCATTCATTTTTACAGTAATTTCGAGGAAAATTTTATTCTCTCGCCGCATTCTGTTACGACTGTTTTCTTTTTCTTTACCTTTTATTAATAGCTCTTGGCTTGAAATTCTTGCGAAATTATTGGGTGAAATCGAGTGATGCAGACCAAAGCAATGTTTTCGATTTTCATGACTTCACGAAAATGATGCTACCTTTGAATCATCACCGAGAAAATTTGAGGAGACGAACGAAAAACGGCACTGTTTGCATGTTTATAGTCATTGGTTTTGCCGATAAATGGAACTGATAAAGATATAAGTAAGTATTTCACTATATACCGAGGAGTTGATTGCATATTTTCTATTTTCAAGTCATTGCTTACAAGAGAAAAATCTTCGATTGGCATTTTGTTATTGTTGTTGGTCGGTGCCTTTCATTCGTTTTGTTTTATTAAGTTGTCTCCGGTTGTGAATTGTTGATACCACTGTTACAAACCCAATGCGCTTTGGTCGAAATTCTCTTTGAAAAATACGTGACGTACAGAGAGCAAGCAAAATCAACCAAAGTGGCACACTGTGTGTTATGCTTTCACATGCGAATTGCGAAACTGAATCACAGCACACCATGAAAGTTAAATTGAAGTCAATTTAATCGGAATCGGAAAAACGATGAACACAAAATTGATGGTGATGCGAACAACTCCGTTTTGTTAACATAAATCTGATGGAATTTCCATTGTATGAGTTTTTTATGTATATATTTTCCCCATCTTTTTGTCTTTATTTTCAATCTTTCTTCTACTTTTGTTTATGTTTTAGTTTGGTATATTGTTGAAATAAATTCTCCACAGACAATTTCAATGACACATCTTTCAGTCGATCGTCTATTCTCCATTGTCTACTTATGTCTTTGGGCTGATGATGTAACTGCTTTGGTTCATTTACCGGGAAACGCCAAGGAAAAATGATTAAAAAGAATAACCGAGGAAAAAAGAGAAATAACAACAACAAAATCAACTGAAGTAACACAAGCAACCGAACGAAACTAAGAAGAAATGCTTTTAAGCAGTTACGATGCTTCCGTTGTCGATATCTCGATGAATCTCAAGTGAAAATACAAGAGGAAGTATTGATTTAGCGAACAAGTGATAATGTTCGATTATTCGAAGCTCTTCGCTTCAATGTGCAATTTATCGGTTTTCATGCATAACTAAAAGCAGTCGCGCATTTTTCCCGTTCATAGTTCGACACAACATTGAAACGAAAATAGAAAATCCGAACAAAAAAGTATGGAAAAGAAAAATGAATAGCACATAGATCTTGTTCAATGGCAGTGCCAAGTGATGAAACAGAAAACCTGAAACCGCTTAATGTCTAGTAATAAAGGAAATGTTCGTGTACTTACATTGTAATGCGATAAAGCAACTAAAGAATATCCAAAGGCGGTAGTCGAATTGCGATATCATGACGTCATTCCTAACGCGATAATGTGTTTGGCTAGGTCGCTGCTTTGATAAGATTTTCGTGTTGATTTGCTGATTATATTGATGATATTGTTCAGTGTTTGTGGCCGTTATTGTGTGCAGCACACTATTGACTGCTTCACCGTTCAATGTGCACCGAGATCGTGGCAATTTGCGGGACTCCGTTTTGAAGTTAGCCTTTGATACAATACACTTTCATACATCGGCTGCAATATCAACCGAAACAAATGCTCGTTCTATCGACACCAAAATTGTTGTCGCCTTAATTTACCACACGATTGTGTTCTCAAACCAAATTATTTATTATAATAGTGATAATATTAATAACTTTTCGAGTCAATAGCAACAGTTTATTTTCGGTAGTTTATTAGATGCGAAACCAACATTGAATGAATATCATTGCCCTCGAATTTTAACACGAATACGAACGAATGCACTGTGTATAGCTTGCGTATGCTTTAAGGTTCTTCTATTTTATTGACGGTTACTATATATACTATTATTATTGTTATTATTTGTAATTATTATTATTATTATTATTATTATTGTTAATGTTATTATTATTATTTTTCCGAAGTGTTTTTAATCCAGCCCAATGAAATTTCTCTACACTAAATTGATTTCACTTTCAATACAAATATAATTAACGTTTAATACTTATTTCAGTCTTGGGTGTCTAGCCAAGTGGTGCGCACAAAATTCTTGAATGCCCTTGTCACATGAGATTAAATTATCATCGAAACATGTATCAAAGGAGCGAAAAACGAGAATTTCGTTTTAGCGATTATTCGGCTGTAATTTGTGTCATTGTCAAATTGTCGTCGTTTTACTGTTTTTTTACGTATTTGAATGTGCTCCGAAACACTCTTAATTTCCAGGTTTTCGAACAATGTGACAATGCGTGTGAAATGATTGCTTCTTTATTGTGTGTATGTACGTAAGCGTTTGTATGCGCGCCGTTTCGTTCATTCAAATATTCAAAAAGTTTCGACTAATTTGCCGCACTTAGTTCTCCCCAAAAATGTAGTACAAATGAGTGAATGCGAAAAATAGTCTTAATGACAATATCGTTGTGGATGTGTGCTCTGTTTCAACGATAGAAAGTGAGTTGATGGTCGAGTCTATTCAACTCTAATTCATTTGTGTGTGAAAGAGAGTGTTTTTTGCATCGATTTCGTGTTGAAATGCTGCTTTTTGTTGTCGCTGTTGCTTTTTGAATTGGGAAATTTTCACATTTCCATCATTTATTTAAATCGTACATGCACGGGCAAGCGTGTGTACCGTATGCGAGACTAAATGTGCGAATAAATATAAAGTAGCAGACAGAGCGCCTATGTCTATTTTCAGCCTTTATAAAAATGACTGTCTCTCTTCGGCTTGATTCTGTTATTGTTTGTAATGTACATAATTATTCCATAAAACCGTGTGTAAATCGTGTAGCGTGTTGACACTTTATGCGCTTTATGTGCAAAGCACGATTCTGTGATCTGCTTGTTCTCTTTTTTGTTTGCAAAGTTGTTCGTTGGTTTTTGTTGTTGTTGCTATTATTCTTGTTGTTGATGCGGTCAAAAAAAGTGTTCTCCCAAGCTCGATACAGCTTCATAAACGGTTTCACTTATGGTGCGGTTTTTATCACTCAATGTCTTGTGTCCAATAAAATCTCTTTCAAACACATTACTACCCGTTGAACGGTTGACAAATGAGAAATTTATTTAATCATCAACGAATTATTAGTTGCAGTTTATTGTTCATATATGTTAGAGCAACGCACCGCGAACATTTTATGTACATTTGAATGAGCTTTCACAAAATTTTAATGCTTTTTGGTTTCTATTTCGTTGTTTCTCTCTCCAGTCGGCTTATGTTTTCACTTATATTTACGGGAAGTTAACTTTTTCGCGTGGCCGTTTCTGTGTTTGTATTGTGCTGTTGAATTTGGTCAATGTTAGAGTTTCGCAATTATTTTTTTTGCCGTCGTTCTCTTGCTGGTAATGTTACTCGCAACGATTTTATGAAATGGATGCTCAATTTTTATGCAATTATTATGTGTGAACACCAACTGCACCATATGCAGTGAACGTTTTCGTGCAATTTTCACCTAATAATAAAACAGTGGCGACGCTACAATTCGGTTGTATGATTGAGGCTATTTTACGCAAAATAGTTTATTCTCTTTTTTTATGGTTTCGTTTAAATATTCAAGCGTGCCGATTTGTATCATACAAATGTTTGGAGTCGAAAATTTGATGGTTATTTTTCGCTTTTAAATATTATATGTAACAATTCATACAAAATGCGAATACACAATGAGGTCGATAGCCAGCGGGATTAAAACAAAAAGTCATTGCTCCTTCACGCACATTAAACTCTTTTACACCAAATTTATTTCAATTGAATTTTTTAGTCTATCAATTTATTTTGAAACACTTTTTCCTACAGTTATTTGCGGTTTTCAGTAGCTTTAACAGAATTTATTAACTATACGTTTTAAAAATATAATGGCTTATAGCGTGTAATGAGAACAGTAATTGTATTGGTTTTATACGTTTGCCTGTGTGCCTATAAATTGTTGTTTGTTTTTTTCGGTTTGCTTCTCGATCGTTCTGTCTGTGCGGCGCCGTTGATTTTTCTGCGCAAGTTGAGCAAAAAAACTTTTATTCAATAATTTATTGCGTTATCTCTTTTGCTTAAATGGAATGTAGCATTTTTGTTCTTATCAAATTTAAAACTTAGGCCCAAATTTGATGTGCATTTCATTAGTTTAACAAAGTGTTATTCCCTTTACTGTTTTTTATTCAAATTGTATTTTCTTGATTGTATGCTCGATTAGTTGATTAAATGTTGGTTTTTTTTATTCAAAATGAATTTAATGTGATTTTCGTTGATCTGTTTTAAATCAAAGTCATCAGCGATTAGCAGTATACTAGTTGAATTCTGCGGTGACGTGACGATGACAGTGGAGATGGTGACATTAAAAAACGTATCGTATCAAGGTATCTGTAAAAATGCATGATAAAATAAAATTTCATTCATAGAAAAAAACAAATGAATATAAAAATGGAAAATATTTTTAATATGCATAGGTAATAAATTAAAATTAAATTATCTAACGGCATTTCAAACCCATAATAAACCTCCCCAAATTTTTTATATTATAATGAATACTGCAATTATTGGTTCAATTTAAAATGTTCATCGAAATAAAAATCTCGTCAGTCAAAACAGAGAGCGCGCCGAAAAAAATTATAAAAAAACTGAACAAATGTCAGTGTATGAGAAACCATAATGACATGCCAAAAGGTCGCGGCAAAAAGCGAACATCAATTCGTTGGATCCATTAGAGTAATTGTTCTAACACCCTTTCATACACATATACACCCATATGCATGGATACACATGCGATTTTTATGCCACTTTATTGTTTTTATGTCAACATTAGACTTATTAATATCAGAGAAAATACTCTGCAAATATTTATGTTCATTTTCATGTCATCCCAATGCCTTTCGAGCTTTCTAGACGATGTCACAAATATATTATTATACTACAGAGTTGATGCATGACATGATTCGTTTTTTTGGCTTTTGCGAAAAATTATGATGTATCACATCCAGAAGGCAAACAATGAATTGTAATCTAACACATACACTCTCGTACACATTCACAATCAAGACTAGTTTCGGTACCATTGCAAATCCACTTAAATTAGAATCACCAATGACTGAATGGACACGACGAAAATCTGAACAGCTTAAAGCGACCTTATACATCAAAAACAAATGCCATTAAAGTCGCCAAGTGAGTCGTTAAGATTCACATCTCAAACATCTTCGATATCATTCAATCTCTGTTGGAGTTTCAACTAGAGTTTCAATGAAACTGGATCACAAATATGTAGAGAAAAACCGAATAATGGCTATTTACACAATTCCAGAACATAAATTTGCGCGTATGTGCTTGGAATTGAGACAAATGCTTTCGAATGACAGTGTCATTCAGGCTAGTGTAGTTATATGTTCAATTTAATCCAAATGACCTGACCATTTCTCTCTAGATCACATTTCATGCAAAAAAAGAAGATGAAGAATGCAATATATATTCTCAATTTCTATCAGGTCAAACCGATTCATAATTTTTTTATTGTCTGCTTGTGCCTCATTATTATCTAGTTGGTTTTTATTTTATTCGTTCTGTGCGTTCTCTCTCACTCTCTCCTTATTTCCAAAGTGAGCAAACAAGCGGACAATATTTTGCTCGTAACCAAAATGAGAGCCTGAAACCCAAAACAAATTATAAAAATTCTTTTCGGAAAAAGAGCATAAGAAATTATTGAGCACAAAACGAGAATATAGAGAACTGAGAGTTAAAACAACACATAGAATACTGAGAGCAAAAGTAGCATATATCTTGCTGTTTTTACTCTCAATTCAATATATTGTATTTTAACTCTCAGTTTTTATTCGCCTCATTTTAGCACTGAAAATGTATATCTCTTTATTGGAACCAATAAATATATTTATATTTGCTTTGGTCAAAAACATGAGACGAATAAAAACTGAGAGTCAAAATATAACATATCGCTTGTTTGTTTTGTCGCCAACTGAATTTATATTCTGTTTTAATTCTCAGTTCTGTATATGCTCTATTAAATCTCAGTTTTTTCTATCGCCTTTTTCATTTAAAATACATTCTTATGCTTTTTTTCCGAAAATAATTTTTATAACTTGTTTTGGGTTTCAGGCTCTCAAATGATGACACAACAAATCAACATCAGTCTCATGTTTTGGCAATATTTGCGGCAAAATGTCGGTGGAAAATGTGAATTTGGTGAAGTGAAATGTGCAAATGGATTTCGCAATGGAAGCATAGAAGACACACAAACACACACACGACTACACACACATCCAGCAGTGGCACAGTCAATTTCACCATTCTCATTGCTATTCTTATGGTAGATATCATACCAAGCGTTGTGAAGTTGATCTATCATTATTATGAATTATTATTTAACGATGGTAACTGTATAGCAAAGCCCCACGAAAATTAAGCTTAAATAGGATTTGACAAAAGATGAGAACCAAAATAAACAAACAAACGAAAAAAAAACCAAAATTGTACCATGGTATGCAGTGATTAAGAAGAAATTATGAAGATATAGCTGGTTCCCATAAAGATAGAGTCGACAATTCTCTCTGTGCATGGGTACAGAGATAGAAACGACGACGACTCTTCACCATCAAGCCATCATTTCCAAAAATGAAAATCATGTGTCATTTTGTACACTTAGTCATCATCACTTTGTATCTGGTTTAAAAGATAGGTACACGCGGTTTGTCAAGCTCAAGAAAAACAATACCAATAGTTGTTGAGAATTGGCTTGGCAAACAGGCGAAAGACACAAGAACAATAGCAAAAATTGTAAAGAATAAACAGAAGCGAAAGATAAAAAAAATATAAATGCTGCTGAAGCTGTTGTTATTGTTGTCAATAACAATAGTGCACGAAGTAGATGGTGTTTTCACATTTGCCATACACACATAACCCACTGACGCAAGCCTATAGCTCCTCGGTTTAACAGCAGTGATAAAACGACCAGTAGAGAGAACAAAAAAAAAATACTACGGTAGAAAAACGAAACTATTTTATAGTCTAATCGATAGACACGTATCTATTCCGATGAGGACACTACCTTTTTTGCCTCTTTCAATATTTTTGACATGGTAAAATGGGATTACTTGGCACAACCATCCCTCTCTCTATCTCTTTTTTACGTCTCTCATCTCTTTCTCTTTGCATTTCTCGGATTCAATCTTGTATTTATATATTCTGCTGTCCGTTGAGTGAAAATGGACTCTTAATGGTGATTCTTGAATACACGTAAACTTTTCTGATAATAATCATTCTATTATCTTTTATTGTTTTTGTTTGCGCTTTTATTGGCGTTCTCTTGCCATTTTCCATTTAGTTGCTTTCTGTGACTTCTTTGCTTCAAAACAAAACAAAATTATTAATATCGAGATGCATGCATAGGTATTTTTTTATTGGGATAATGGTCGACATCGACATATAGTAAAAATATCGATGACTATGCATTGGTTTTGAATGTGAATAACGAAATATACATGATTGAGCACACAATGAGTTTAATAAAAGGGAAAAAATACTTCGAAAATTGCGAGAAATGTGAGAATGAAAGCGATAGAAGGGGGGTGTAGAAAAAAGCAACAAAAAAAACAACAACACAATGAATACAAAACACTTTCCATCCATTTCCTTACGGTATATTTGGTTTTGGTGTGGTTTTGTTCTAATATGTGTCACATATCGCGTATTGGGACGACGAAAGCAAAACTAACAATGGAAAATTAAAACAAAAGAACCAATCATACTAGAAAATTAACTAAGCAGTCAACTGAACCAATTCGCAATAGAAGTTGTAACAATTCATTGAAAAAGTATGAATCTTTTAAAATTTAACAAAAGAATCGTAGCACACACACACAAATTGATACATTCATACACGCAGAATTACAAAATGATAGGAAAAACGATGGCCGTAAAAAATGTGCCCCGGACGAAATGATTTTCTATTGTATTGTTTTGTAAAAATTATAACATTACAGCAGATTTCAATGCATAGCTTTTGGTTTTACCATATGCTGTGGCCGTTACATATACTATGTTAATATTGCTGCTATTGCTTTCATTTCGAATTCTGTTCAGCAAAATGTGCTGTTCATATGAATGAATGGATCGTCCATTATGGATGTGTACAATACAGATTCTGTTTATACATTGTGCACGAAAAAGTGTGAGATGACCAAGCAATGTCTTCTTTTGAGACGTGCTAACAGCCTAAACCAAAACTCTCTCTTTCTCTTTGTGTCTCCCTCTCTCATCTATTGCAACACAATACTTTGGATAAATACCAAAAATTAACAAACTTTGATCGCTGTGTTATTGTACAAACTCGAACTGTTTTTCATTCGACTTTTTTATTTTGTTGTTTGCAAACTGTGGACGCAAAGTTTTATTTCAGTTTACATTTTACATATTGTAGTATGGAAGAAAAAAACTATCCGAAGAAAAACTTGAATTTTTTATACCCCCTACCGACCCTAATTTCTGGGGTACACAAGGGGGTGCGGAAAAAAATTATCATAGATACGCAACATATTCGACTTAAGCTACATCATAAATAAGAAATAAATCAATTTCTGCATGTGAAGTTAAGTGAAGTTAAGTTATGCCTGTCATTTTACCCGCAACACATTTCTTCGCGGGTAAAACGGCATTTTAACATGTTAAAAAATATCCCCACGTTAAAATCGCATTTTGCTCTGATTACTTTGAATTTTAATATCTGAGTTTTCTGAGAGTACGGTAACCGAAAAGGCACAACTCAATATAGCAATTTGCTTTGAATGCATGTAACATTCGGCGAGCTGTTAATTGCTGTTGATGTTATTGAGACAATAACTGATGTTTTCGGGGAAACAGCTTGTCAAATAATTTCGGAAAGAAGAACTTTATTACAAAAATAAATCAATAATAGCTAAAATGTTTTGTCAAAATTATTATGAGGTCAATTCCATTAACAAAATGCTGAACTTGTCAAAAGAAAACTAAACCTCTTAAATACTAATATAAGTTTCATGAGTCATGTATTTTCCAGTATTTATAATTAAATTGAAGTATTACGAACATCCAGCTGTTCTAATTGATCCATAATTGCATGTAAAATATATTATTTTCGTGTTCATTTATTTGATCAACTTTTTAACCACAATTTATTATATTGTTCGTCCAGTCGGTAGAATGCAGCACTTAACATTTCATGCACAAAATTAAACAACTTGTTTTAAGTACTGTACCATGGGTGCAAAACATTTTTTTCCATGTGAAACATGGGGCGGAAATGAATGAGACGAAATTTTCTCTCTCATGGGCGCAGCCATATTGAAAATTTTGTATGCGCTTATATGTAAAATTGGTGG